AGCTACTGTTAATGGAGGCTAAAAGTTTTGTTCGAATAATTCTTAAATGGTAAACAGTGAAATCAACCCCAACGCGTATAACTTAAATTTATATCATAAGGTTTTCTCAGCATTGTGATAATCGTCGCTGATAAAGCATTTATTCGCTATGACTTGTGTGAGTTGCATGAAAGTTATGAGAGAAAAGATGGAAGTTTATCGAACAGTTTCAAAATATCAAACAAAATCCCGTTACGTTTGTGTTAAGAAATCAACAAAATAACGATAGTGAGCCAGTTATCACATGTGGTTATCAGCATTCCTTCGTTACCATTATCGAGTTGCATAAAAGTCATGATAGCAAAGTTTGACTTTTATCAAACATTTTTGAAAGAGTAAATGATTCATTGAAGTTCAGCGATAATCGCAATACCCTGACGATAAAGTGAATATCACACGTTGTAAGATATCCGTTCACGGTTAGGAGTTCCAGATGCATATAATAAAATTAAAGTGGGCATTTATCGAATAGTTTCGACGCATAGATAGAAATAATAATAAACACAGTCCAACTGTACTCAAAAATTGCTGATGGTGAGGTGGTAGTCACCGATGATAACGTATTACTTTAATATTTCCTATTTGACTTGATATATGTTTTAAGAAAAGCAAGCTTTGTCGTTTATACGTTAGCTATGTGTCGTAAGGAAAGCTAAGTATTGGATCATTTAGGGAAACTGTTTTAATATTTAGCTGTTCAGGTTTGAAATAGAAAGAAAATTCATTGAACAATGACGACAGCTCATGTTAATTTTGAACCGCGGTTGTGGCACTCCTGATAAGTTTCAAATCATTCAACCAAACCGATAATGTTATTGCTTAAATTAGCGAAAATATCACGTAAAGCTAACATCGATTAACATTTCAGCAATCATTAACAAATTGTTATGGCAATTACATAATGTATATTTATATATGATGCACAAGTTAACAACAGTAAGCAATATGCATAACAATGAGATAGGGAATAAAGGAGTTTGAAGAGAAGACGGTTTGATGGATGGAAGGTTAATGCAGATGAAAATGCAAATGTGTGGGTTAAAATGAACGGATCGATTGATGCAGATTTCGACTTTTTCGTTCCTCGTTGCAGCAGTGGCGCCGCATCATCTGGAGGTCACATATTTTCTGTATGCTTTATTCCTTCACAGTAGACTGGCTGCTTACTGTACCTGTGACAAACTTTCAAACGCTTCGAGAGACAGGATATTGCAGTTACCGAAAGTCGTTCTTCCTTGCATCTGACATGATAATTGTCGGCTTTCGATTATGCGTCATATATTTACCTAATTTAACAATCTTAATTATCTGAATAAAGTGATTTTACTTATTTTTATTATATTATTCAGCGTTGTTCAGATCTTCTGTCTCTTTGATGGAAGAGCTTGTTTCCTTCGTTCAGAAAGCATAAAAATTTTTTAGGAGCTCGAAAAGGTTTCCTAATACTTTCTCCAGGCCTATGAAAGTCATCGCATTCTTTAGATCTTTTTGTCCCATTTTATGGTAGAAATGTGCCAGACAGATTTGTATGAAGACGACATCGTCTGCCTCGTTTTCGTTTTCACTGAGTCATTAACCACACCACACTGGGAGTTCATGACGCACCTTAATGAAATAGGGTCTACCGTATAGTGCGTCGGTGCAGCCTCTGATCTGCTTTGCCGTTGTACACTTTTCTACACCCATCAACATCGAGGTTCGATTTGTGGACAGTGCAAATACAAAGGCGCATTAAATGTAACAGGGAATTAGGTAAGAGTTTTGACCATCATGAAATTTGTCAATCTCGTTTCATGCTCATCTGCAAGGAAGTCAGTGCCGCAGTTGATAGTAGATTCTTTCTTACAGAATTGATTCATTTGATAGGCTAGTTTTTCAAAAAGTTTTGTGATGTGATTTTAGCAGCCTAAAACAGTGGTTTTATGGTCATCGCACACGCTTTAAAGGAGGGTTAGATCTGAACCTAATTCGATAGATTAAACAAACGAGAACCTTGACGTGGATTGTAATCTCAAAATGTGACATAACAGTTCCGATTTTGGGATCATTGCTGAAATGGTAGATGGCTTGCCGATTCACGGTTCAGGGCACCAAGCATTGCAGGTTCTTAGTGATGACACTTTATATAAAGTTTTGTGCCCTCTATTGTGAATCGGCAAACCGTCTACGGATGTAATCTCTTGTAAACCTGGCGCTCTAAAATTTGTGCTGCTTCGAAACAGTGCGTTTCCATTCATTTTTCTAACGGTGTTTGCGCATATTTAGAAAGCCAAGCGTCAGCAGTACTGTGAAACGGTAGACCAAGCTGAATCGGATGAAAAGAAAGAAGGGATTGAAGCTCCTCAAAAGGTATTTGTTTATCATACAGTGAGCCTCGTAAATTATACGGTATCTGTATAATGACCACTGTTTTGAATACATGCAGAATTACTTTGAAGATTTTAATTGCTGTCCTGTTGTGTTGATCGTTCTTCGGATTTGATCATTTTGTAACGGTGCGGTCAGCTGGTAAAATGGAAGATACTAGAAGAAATGAAAAAGTATATGCGTGCTTCAAGATTCAAGATTCAGAAATTCCTAAAAGATTTAGTGTTTTCTCACTCCACCTCCTCCCGACCCACTCACCCATTTGCGATCCGCAAATAAACAGAGGAGCAGTGGAACAGGTAAAGTTTATTACCTCGGGGTCGTGTTTACTTGTGATAGCAAACGAAACGAATTGCTCGACCGGCGAATTGAACGTCAAGCAGCGTTCGCCGTGAACTACCACGGGACCGTCATGACTAAGGAGCAGCTGAGTCTAGAAATGAAGCTATTTTGCTGTAAACTTTCGAAGTCGACTTTCGTTCCCATGCTCAAGGTTGCAATGAGTCATGGGCTATGACGAAAATCCAGGATCCCGGAAACAATCAGGGGGTGGGCTTTCTGTGAGGAATCACAGGCGTTCAGGCGTCTCGACATGGTCCAGAGTACAGATATGCGGGAGATCTTTTGTGTAGAGTCGCTTCTTCTCCAGACTGAAAAATCGTAGCTGCGATGGTTTGGGCAAACTTCTGCACCAGGAGCTGAAGCACAGTGAATGTGGCATGGCTCTAGCGGACAAAATGATACGAGATGCACCTGACGCTGCAGCTGCTCAAATACTATAAAGCCATGGCCTGCTTAAATGGCCCTTCCCCCAAAGCGACTAAGAGCAAATGGTTGGTGGAGTACGTCGTTAAGTATGGTCTTCTTGGAGTCAATCGTTATTTGATATGGAATATTGTTATTGTTAATAAAAAATACGGTAAATGGAAAATACGAAAGTACAGTCGTCTCCTACCATTTCTCTGAATTCATACGGTGTAGTCGCACCGTCCCCTCCTAGTAGCTAGGGGACCATTTAAGCAGGTTACCCTTCCGTGATACTTTAGCACCTGTAATGCTTTAACGGCACAACTTTTTTGCATCGAACAATAATCTGTCTGAATGGCAATGATGCGCACCTATCTGTAGGCATATTTAATACAAATTGACCCAGTCTTATCTCAGGTTTGCTAGCATACTTCTAGTTTTCGATATTGCTGGCAAGAATCACAATTTCTTGTAGCTTCTCTGGATTTCTGCGGCTTGTGAATAAATATAATTGATTGATCATCTTTCTAATTTATAAGACTGTATCTAGATCATTAAATTTGTGCTCGCAACTTGTCATATAACAAGATATGGATTATTCGTGTATATCGACTTAAAATTCGGTGTTTCTAGGAAATCTCAGGTGTTGGTGAGGTTGCGACACCAAAATCCAAACCTAAACCTGCCCAACAGGTACAGCGTTTGTATTTGACATTGGTGCTCATCTCAGAAAGATTTTTTAGATTCCTGCTACTGTGCCTCCACAGACTCTAACGAAACCGAGTGTTCCTGTTGCCAAGGATGCAGATTCTGAAAAAGATACGGTGAGTGACAGATGAGGATGCTGCTTTCGAAGTGTCTGTTATTAGACGAAGTTCTTTCTGTTGTTCACGACGATCTGAAAAGGGTTAACTTCACATACGCTATACATTTTTTCCGTCGTTTTGTATCGCATTAGACATATCCGTAGAGATAATAACGCACAAACAGTTTACACAAACAAGTTGATCAGTAATGGTTCTTGTCTAGATTATTTGTGTAAACTGATTATGCCTTATGTGCTGTGAAGATACAGAGATATAACTTATTTACCTGTTTACAACGAAATTCTTTCAAATACTATCGTGATAAAAAACTGCATCCTCAAAGAATTTGAATAATAATTTTTAAAACAGCTTCATTTTCACTACGGATCATTGATATTTCTCCATAACTATGATAACTCTTCACATTTCGCTATGCATATGATTTTAAACGTAACAAAATTAATTCGTTTTGATGAGAGAATTTTCGGTTTCAGATGCAGACCATCATCAGATGCGTTTCGTAAACTCCGTTATTTGTGGAATATCCCTAATGATGGCTTCTGTATCGGAAGTCGAAAATTCAGATCAAAAAATAGTTTTTATGTTGCGTCTCAACCCATTTCCATTCGAAAGATCTAGAATTTGAGACGCTTTTCATTTTCTGTGAATAGCAGTTTACTTGCAGCAATTTGCACTTTGTACTTCTGAACAACAAACACTGATGTTCACGGATTTTAATGCAGACCCTGTTATGACCAAAGTCTTTTGTAACCCAGTTTTCGAGCCTATTGCTCTGGATGCCGCCTCCCAAGAAATACCGACTTCAAGTTATACGTTTCTGCAGTTAGAAACATAGAAAATATCACTGCGTACAGTTTACTCAGATTGGTGATAAAGCCGTTCAGCTCAGTGCGACTGTTCCTTCCCATATTTTTTGCTGTATTAGTTTGCTGGCCGACAGACCATCTCTAGACGTCAAGGTTTGTCAAGCAAAATGATACATCAGCGATTTATTCATCATACCATCTTCCCACTAAAAGTATAACAGCATTTTATATTGTATCATTAGAGCGGTGTAGTGGCTAAATACGTAATAGGTTTCTGCAACTTCTGCAAAAACGTTACCAAGCAGACTGACCAACCGTTCAGCAAGCAACAGCTGTCGTACGAACAATAAATTGTACATATAGCGGTGAATTTCCTCTTCCTACAAACAGCGCAGGGCACCGCCAGTTTGTGGTAATTCGAGGAATTTTGTTGTTCATATGATTTACTAAATCTTAATTTGTAACGATTTCGATGTTGGGCTTGCGACGGTTTTTCTACCGGGTTTATTGGACTCTTGTAATGTAACGTTAGTTTCTGGTGCAACACTGACGACCGTTAGCGTTTAGACTGTCACACCAAACGTAACGCCAGTGGAAGACGGATCTGAAAATGGCGAAGCGCTGCCCGGTGCTGAGGAGATGCGTAAGGCGACTGACTGACTGACCGACGTTCGTTCGTTTGATCGGCGTTAGCCTTCTTATTTTTAGTCAACAAAGAGTACGAAGCGTTGGTTAATCGGAGACAGGAGCTGGAACGACTGAGGGACCAGTTAGCGTTCATGAAGCAGATGTGCGCGGACACTGTTGGACAGGCGAGCTAACTTTTCGTTTTTTTTTGCTTCTGAGCTTTTTTTCAAGGGGCATGCGGGTATTGCGTTGATTTTGGCTCTTCCAGCTTTGATTGTCAGACGTCTTTCGACCCGGGCGCTCGATTTGGCTTAGGCTTTAAGCTGGGGACTGAAAATGATTGATCGTTGTTAATACGCTAGCAGCTCAGAACTGAACATAATTGCTTTTTTCTGCCAGAAGAAAATTTAAAATAATCAATACAATCAGATAAAGCATTGGCCATCCGCGTTGACTGAAAAGCTATTTAGCCTTGTGGTTGCCTCCAGAAAAATTTTCGTCGAATGCTACATCGTTTTAACAAGCAATAAGGAGAAATGTTATAGGACAAGTTAGTAACAGTAGTATTGGTAGCGAATTTATTTGAATATCTTAACAAGTACTCAAATTTCACAAAAATGACCAATTTCTCAAACAATGTAACTACCTTCTCATTCAACTGTAATGATTAAGTTTTCACATTCAAGAAAACGATCTTATCCCTTGTTATGGCTTGGTATAGATGTTCCTTTCGACAAGGCGGACTTCTTTGTTCTAGTGGATTTTTTAGCGAATAAAAAAGGAAACTGGGAACCACTTGAAAGTTTAAAGTAAATTTGCTGCGGATTCGTTGATGGTTCGGCATACACGTCACAAAAGGGTGTTGTAGCGTTATTTCGCTATGCTCGTTGCGACTCATTTTGCAAGCCGTTTGTAAAGACATGCACATCACATCCTCAGAGGTTTGCCAGCAGCAATGGCAAAAGCCTTTTATTTGTCAGCAAGAGCGAAAAGTGCTCTGAAACATTTATAATCTACTGCAGACCCGTTCTGACGCGCCCTGGCCTACAAAATTCCCAGCATGATTTACTCCATTATACTCGGCCGTGTTTTTTACTAGTCGATTTTTTGTCGGTCGGTCTTTGTCTTAGCCTAAGCATTTGCTGTAATGAAGAATTCATGATCGTGCAGTTATTTAGCTTCGTTTTTGATATTTACATGACCTGATCACCGCAAAACGCGTTTGATTCTTAAAGAATCAACGTAAAGTAAAGCGAAAAATTTTAAAATTGAAAATGGGATTTCTGCGTTTTCAGTGAAGCCAACGTTTTTTTGCCCCTGGCGCGAGATATTAGTTAGAATATCGAAGTAAACATCGCTCTTAACTCCTCGGAAAGCAATTTCACTTGCTCATAATTGCCTCAAGAGTCATTGAAGCAGACCGTGGCAGGACGATATTTGGGTTCTTGCAGCGCCAGATGCACCTCGAGTCATTCTAGTCGCTATAACGATCACAAGCCGATCAAGGCGGATGTTTAATGTGATGTTGCTACTGTACTTCTCATTTGCTACTGCGTGAACATCAAATTATCGGTTGATGCACAGGACTGTGATAATTGACGCACAGCTTCGTTAAGATCAAATTTGACGGCATGTTAATTGCTGAACATCTTTTATGAAGAACGTGGGTCGCGCTAGTGCAAAAAAAAAATAAGGCAGAATCGTCTAGCACAGCTGGTACCTAAATACCATGGTGTCATGGTCTGAATGAACGGACCCCCTATAGAACTAGGAACAAAGGGACTATGCATACGCTGTGAAAACTAGCTGGTTTTAGAGAACTTATGCGTCAGCTGATATACCCTGACGTACGAAAATTTTTTTTGCGAACCTTGATATCGTAGCACAGCACAGTACACAGTTGGCTGCAGTGGCGCAGTAGTGCGTGGGAGTCTCTCTGAATGCTTTCCTGTATATAAATATGTACGAAAGATTGACTTTCACGGAGGGAGAACGTAAATCCAATCAAACGTTCGAAATATCATCATATAGATGACCGGCTACTCTCCTGAATGCGCAAGGAAACTAGTGAACGAATGTTTTATGTACGCAAAACTATTCAATGCTCTCGTCTAAAATGCAGTCAGGAGCTACAGCGAATGATCATTGTTGAGAGAAAATAAATATTTGATCCCATTTGACTTCAGGTTCATGACCGATTGATAAATCGAGACGACGCTGGACGCACCACGTTGTGCACTGGCTACAATTTAATATTGTCACCGTCACAAAAATCATGCAGGGCTCCAAGCTGATGTGACACAGGACAGTACCGCGTGTGTTTTGAGCTTGGAACAGAGGATAGAGTCTGATAATTATGAACGGTGTTAGAATGCGATTCGTCTGCAGGACTGTTCTTCTTCAGTCCTTTCACAGGGATACTTAACAACGTCATATCTGAATATTTAGATTTGTGAGTTGGCAGCAAATGGCCTCTGGAGTGGTACCATAAATATCGGTTGTTCTACAGTATAATTTCAGCAAGATGTTTAGAGACTGTACTACGTAGTGTGAATTATCAGAATAGCAGCTATGCCCGTAGTCGAACTTCATCTTTCATCATTGGGGCGACGACAGAATCCGTCAGACTGACGTGAATCCTTCGAAGCGTTACAAATATTTCGCACTGATCATTTGCTTTCTTTGAAAGTTCGAAATTTTTCTTGTATAGATGAAACGTTGCTGCGGCGTTTGACGCCACTTTACTGGGAATTGCAGAATGTACCAATCAATGAATTTCAGTTTTTCATTAGGTGAAGTTGATTTTTGCCTATGAGGAAGATTATCCTACACCACTTTTCGATTCATGGTTCAGACAAGCAAGGAACTGAGGATGATTTTAAATTAATCTTAAATCCTCTAAGGCATTTGGACGCCTCACGTCCTGTTCATGCTCAGGATGCAAGGTGATAGGATTCAACATCTTTCGTGGTTTGACTGCCTACCGAGTTTGGTGGGGAATATTTGTTTTGCATCAAGGAAAAAATTTTCTACTGCGTAAATTGGACGAACAAATTGAGTCAATTGACTGTTTACGCGCCGACATTTATATTCATTTGTCAATAAAATTTTTTTCACTCATTTTGTTTGCTTTGACACCTTTCATCCGTTGCCACTTGTTCGACGTTAATGTAAACTTTTGTAAAGGTTCAGTGGCAGACCGATGCCGTTTCATTCTGACTATGTACGCTGCCCATAATCAGAATTATTGCAAATGCGGAAAATTCTCTGCATATGTAACACAGCAACCACCAATCTGATCATGCTACTTTTGAAAGCAAGCATCATAAACATGGGACTGGGTCATCTTTAGTCGATGGTCATTCGTCTGTCATTATATGAACCGTGTTTGACTATAGTCTGGGTGTAAAGTTTAATGGTTTGTTTTGTGAAAGTGTGTTAAAGCCCCCAAAACTTTTATACGTTTTTCGTCGTCAGTTATGATACGTTTGTTGCCTGTAGTTATTGTACTGTAGACTAAAGTAACTATTACTTAAAAATGCATCGAATAAAGTAACATATGTAACGGTCAGACATCATGAATCTGTGTCACTACTGTTTAAACCCTGTTAGCTTCAGATGACGATTACAAACCACCATGAACGCATTGAATTGCCAAGTGTTATGCATGACATTGCAGCTGTTTGCTGTCCTTGTTTGCGAACCTGATTTCCAGATCCATATCAAATGTTTTGTTTTCTTGTAAAATTTCTCAGAAAGCTGGCAACGACCAGGATAGGGAGGATCTGACACCATGACAAAGTGCACTGCGGTATGATTGCAAATCCATTGCGTGGAGCGGTAGGGACGAAGGCTTTTCATGAATCGCGATACGATTGGCTAACGGGTTGCATTTGTTTCATATATGTTACTGAAGCTCTCAGTCTTAAACATCGAAGTTTCGTTGCGCATTACCGGATAGCCGGAAGTCTGTAAAGAATGCTACTATCGAGACATCACTGGCACAAATCTTGACTGACTAGCTTCTTGTTCTTCCGCATACAAGCAGTGAAAGAGGGTGAATCCACCAAGATCGCCATGAACAGGGACTGCAGACTGAAATTTTCAAAAAGTGATTGGCGGCAGCGTATATTTACCCCTTTGTCAGAAACATATTTTCTTCGAGAGAAGGAAAGGTCATCCATCATTTCGATGATCGGTAGCAGCTGACCGGTTTTTCTAGCTATTTATTTGCTCCAGCTAGCGTTGTCCACCTAACGAATGACCTATGTACAAAAGGAACTTTCCATCGTTGGATTCAAAAACTGTCGCTATGCAGGTGTCAGTCATTTTTGGCTATAGGTGAACATTTAAACTTTGTCGAAAATCAGTCCTGGAAGTACAAACCATGGTTCTATCACAGACGATGCACAAGGCATTTAAACTGCGCGCAGACAAAAAGTTCTACTTCTCTAAGTCATTTACATGCTAGCGACTGCTCCGGCAGACACACATTGAGCTTCTGTTGACGGCAGTCGATCAGCCGCTGCGGATCACCATCGTTCTCACAGTTTATGTGCTTGTGATTGAGTGAGCTATTCCTGATACGAATCCTTCGGCACTGGTCGACGATAACGTGTTATGCTTATTTGTGAATTGGTAGTGAATCGAACTAGTGTCTGGTCTTGTTGTAAACTGCTTGTTCATCATTTGTAGCTGCCAGTGTTTTTTCTGTGCTTCTATGAAAGTTTTCCTATGTTATATTCATATATTTACCTGACACCATGGGTGGATTCATAAATAAGATATTAAGACTTTATTGACAAATACGTACGGGTAGAGCCCGTGGTAGGCACCTTGATTTCGGTCCTACGACACAAGGTTTAAGGATGTGTATATTATCGATAGTCTTGATACTTTTCTCATCGTCTGGTGCGTTATTCTTCAGTCGTTGTTGCAGTGTCACAACAGGATTCGTTTATAAAACCTAAATTCCGCTTCTTTAGCTGGTCAAAGCAACTGAAGCAAATCTTTTCTTCGTGAGGAGTTGTATTTATGTGATGTTTATAGACGCACCTGCACACAACAAAAGACCAGTATTTAAGTCAATATTTTATTCAGTTGTCATCGTCAGTATCCGGTGAGAGGAAACATGGTTACTGTATTGTTCTAATCGCGTTGGAAAAATCTGGACTTTGTTTTCAACAAACGGACGACTTCATATTCTGGACCAGCATCTGAAATGACAATATTTTTTTCAAGGTGTTGTGTTTAGGCAAAAACGATTGTTCCGTCTGGTTTTCCAGTTATTGTTATACTCGAAAAATATATACATA